AATCACTTTTAGACATTTGTTTGACCTCCGTGACCTGCTGCAAAACCTACTTCGACGGCTACAAAACTTATTTTTGCTGCTCCTGAGCTGCTCTAAAGCGAGCGTTTTACTGCTCCAAAACTGCTCCAAAGTGGGACTTTTGCTGCTCCCAGCCCTGATACAAAAGGCTCTAGCCCGCTTCCACCCCTGAAACCATTATTTGCTCAGTCTACTGTTCTTGCTAGGCACAAAGATATGACTGTTAGAGAGATTATGGAGGCTGATGCTATAAATAGTTCCGGCACGTGTTGTGTCAGTGTGGCGTTAATTGACTTGGCGGATAAGGAGTTGGCGTACTTGCGGTCCGTGGCAGGGCCACGGATTGGTTGAGATGTGGTGCGGTGACGCAGTGTGTTTCTACGCCGAGGTTCTTGAATTAAATCAGTTGAAAGTTAGCACTCTGTGGTGTCTGTCCTTCCTATGTCCCCGTCTTCAAAGCAGTCATGTTTTCTAACGTACCGTACCAACTTGCCCAACAATCAGCACTTGCTAAATGTGCTATTGTGTTTTAAGCAGCTCGCACCAAATATTTTCTTGAAATACATAGGTTCATGGAAATTATTATGTAGATGTTGGCAGACAGTCATGGTGAGGCCAATCTTTAATGCCAAGTGGTCCACTTATTCAGAGTTAATTGAGTTTGTAAATATTGTAGGTCGCAAATTAAATTTTTATGGTACGCAATGGGCAAAATCATTCGTAATGACTAGCTCTACCTAGGGGAACTTCATACGTTTACTACGGCAAGATGGTTTCGAAAAACAAAGTATTTAGTTTATTCAACTCCTGCACTAACCTTGTCTTTAGAAACTTTTTATATTCTTTGCGATGCTGAGATAAGATTCTGGAAATAGTTTTTCTAAAACTACTCTAGATATTTCCAGTTCATCATTTTTCTCGCAAAGCATTCGAGAGAGCCAAACCCTGTAATGTACGGAGGGAACTCACAGAATGATGCGACTGACAGTTTGGAACATTCGGCACTGTAACAGTAATAATGACATGTCACTTATGTAATGTTCATTATCGCAGATCAAACTGCTTTTTCCGTCTACACTCATTTTCAGTAGACTCATTCAGCGAACTCCCACCTGAGACTGCAGCGCTGGGTTCTGCAAAGTAATTTGAATGAATATAGATGCAACAGGTTTCTTTGAGCGTGCGTCTAACACATATTCTTCATATTGAATCTGCTAACTGTATTCATGTCCATGTCCATAATTCCACATTCCAGCTTATTTTTATTTTGACATCTGAGTTTTCTTCAGTACTTTTCTCAACATCTGTGCTTGCTGAGCCGTACTCAAGTCCATACATCTTGTCTTTCGCTATTACATTAATATATAAAACTGTTGATGCCGAGTGAGAATTCAAGGTACCGAATCTGTCGTGCGAGCTAAATAAGAACCAATAAAAAGCTCTACAAAGGAAATTTTGTTAAAGGATGCTGTATGGGAATTAGAATAGCACATGCCATGCTAAAAAAAAAAAATACAAATTCTTGTAGGTATGCGAGGATGACAGTGCTGTGCTGTTTCTGATGTGTCACAAAAAAAAAAAAAATCAGTGCCATACAGTGTTCCTTATGGAAGTACAAACTGTTGAATTCGAAGCCCAGAAGTTTTATTCAAGAATGTTCCTCAATACAAATGTATTTAGAGATCTGAGCCACTGACTCATACATGACTATGTGGCAAACATTAATTTTCATGTGGATTATAGTTTACAAGGTCTAGTCTGCATTGATTTATTGCATTCATGCTGAAACTGGGAGGGGTTCTCTGGGTATGAACAAAGAGATAAATATTTCTTGAAATCAAAACATTTGAGAACGGACAAAAGGAAGGATCTGAGAACGGTATCTTAGATTCTCTTCTTTTTCTTACAGTATCTCTAATGTTCACTTTATTTCACCTGATGCATTTAGTTTTTAGCGCAGCTCTTAGCACCCGTTTCCGCGTTTCGCGGCGTCGCTGTCGGCGTAACCACCCTGCTAAACTTGGCAGGAAATTGAATTAATGTTGTGGTCATGTGACGTTAATATTTCCGCTAAGTCTAGCTGAGAAACTGAATTTTTTTTTATGGCTGACGTGACACGGTCATGCGACGTCATTTTCCCTGCTACTTTTAGCGGAAAAACTGCATTTGTGTTGAGGTCATGTGACATCAATTTCTGCGCTAAATTTAGTGGGAAACTTAACCAGCTAAATTTAGTGGGGAAATTTTCCCGCTAAATTCAGGGAAGTTTCCTGCTAAATGGGAGGGAGCAGAAGAGGAGGAGGGGAGGGGGAGGAGGGGCATACCTTCCCATCCTCCTCTTCAAGATCTGTGCTCTAATTTCGCGTTACAGAGAATTGTAAACGTCTCATATTTCATCTCATGTTTATTCAACTTTTATATTGCAGGTGCGCTCGCAGCACAAATCTGGGTTGTGCTGATCCTCTACGCACAAGTTAGGAACTCCTGAGTGGCAAGAGTGGGAGTTTGGTCTGACAGCTCAAGGGACACCATTGTTCAGTATTGAATTTTTAATAATCTTCTTTTAAGCAAAGTTAAGCTTTGCTGCATGCAGTTCTTGTAAAAATAAATACCTGCAACCAAATTTACCAGGTCACGACATTTCGCCTCTGCTCTTAGTGGTCCTGGTGAGCCTCGGATAAGAGCTTACTGGTGTGCAAACACCATGCTTGTTTGAAACCACTCACTGATGTAGAGACTCGCTGACATCCAGCATTCCAATGAAACGCTGGATGTCCACAAGTCTTTCTTGAACAATGCAAGCGGGGAAGGAACCATACAATCGTATTGTATTGGGGGACATTCTACAGAGTTTTTTTTCTATGTTTTACAGATTTTTTTTACAAAAGCCGTAAAAGCTACATTTACGCGGTCTGTGCACGTGAGTTATATGGCCAGGGCGGCATAGTATAAAAGGCTAATTTGTAATGATCCGTCGGCTTATTACAGAGATGTGCCAGACTTCTTTCAGAAAACTAGATGGAGGTTCATTCTAGCGTAGTTTTATCCCGCGAATCTGAATATCCCGTTCGTTTTCCTCAAAGATATAACTAAACGTGAGAAAACACAAAAAACATCCCACCAACAGTGACATCGTAAGAAGACCTTTCGGCCGCCAAGCGTGTGTCGCTTAAGGGCCGCGCGTCCAATCGCAAGTTTTCTAGGTATATTCTCCGGCACTGGCACCAGTCGTGACACATTTTTCTGCCCTTTTAAAAAATAGCATGTGCGTGCATAGCTTTGATAGGCGCTGAAGATGCGTGAACAAAGATTTTGAAAGCTGCTGTTGTGACATCGCTCTCTAGGGAGGTGCTTTCACAGCGCTTTAAAAATGACTATGCAGCCTTGATTAATTAAATTAGCAAATAATTTTGATATTTGAGATTCTGGAGGTCGAATGAAGAAGATTTAAAAGTGTTTTCTCAATTACAAAACTGCTTCAGCCTCTCTCTAAGTATAGTATGTTCGTGAAATTTTTGATCAGTGAAAATAGACCCATGGTTCCAATTAGAAACCTGCTAAGCATCATCAAAACACACTAAATCAATTTTCTTTGTAAAGATATAAGACGAGTAGCATTTTATGGCGTTATAAAAAAATGGTCAATTTGGACGCATTTCCAGACTTCGGTTTCTTACCAGAGCGCATCTTTGCACCTGCGGTCCAGCTGCCCGGTGACCGCAGTGCGAAGCCGCCCCCTCGCCTCCCTCGTAGGATGAAGGGAAGCAAGTCGCATGTGTGTTGCGTGTCTATGCCCCTGGGGAACAGGACCGTGGGCGCAGAGATGAGCTCTGATAAGAAACTGAAACCTAGAAACTCGTCCAAATAAAGCTTTTTACAGAATGCATAAAACGCTACCCCTGAATTATATCCTTCTAAAAAAAACTTGATTTTGTGGTTTTCAATGACTCAGCAAGTTTCTAATTGAAACCATATTTTCATTTTCACTAATTAAAAAGTTGATTAACAAATTGTATTTAATTATCTGACTGATCGTTACGACTAGGTCCCTATACTACGTACGCCTGGCCGTATAACTCGCCTGCACAAACCGCATTAATATAGCTTTCACGACCTTTCTAAACATATATGTAAAGCTTAAAACTAAATCGCCCTGTACAACAGTGAAAAGGCGAAACCAACACGCTGGAGCCATATGGCTCCACCATGCTGGTATCGCCTTTTTGCTGGTATAGGATGTCCCATATTACGTTATGCATGTATGGTTCCGTCCGCCTACATGGTTCCGCCTATATCCACAACGCTGGTATAGGATGTCCCATAATACGACACGCTTGTATGGTTCCGCCCACCTGTATCGTTCCGCCTTATTCCACTATACTGGAGCCGCCTTTTTCGCTTGTATAGGATGTCCCATATTACGGTTACGCTTGTATGAGCCTTTTCCGTCATCTTTCCATCATCGAGATTTTCCAACAGGGAAGTTAATAAATAATATGTTCGATTTATGAAAGCACGACTTGAAATCAATATTATTATTTAGGTAAAGAAAGTTCTATGATAAAGAAAGCACATGCTTCATTCCAAGGAATCAGATTTTATTTAAGACCTCCGCTGATGTGAAATTAAAAACTTACGAGCGTCATCAAGTATCTTGAAAATAGGACCAGATTTTCTGCTACAATATTAAACATTTATTTAAAATATGAAGTGTTCTCTTAGAAGGATTGCGGAATTCAGCAAACACAAATTTTTATAATATCTCCGCTATCTTTGTAACTCAAAGAAATAAATGCTGTACAGAATATTAGAGCTACACCAATAGATAAACAAGTTCAGAAGAATAATGAGACAGAGCTTCACGTTCTACCTTATAAGCACCATCTGTCGTTCTGATGCAGCTTTATTATCTGCCTGGACACAATCTCGTACCACTGTATTGCTTTGGGTTGTTTATGGTACAAGAACATACGCATACTCACGTAGTAATCAATAGGTTCATTTCCATCTGTCGTGCTGAAGAGAAAGTCGTCAGCGAAGACCTTACTCTTCTGCAGCGTCAACGTCAGGTCATCGTTGATTTTGAGCATCCTCTCTCCAGTTGCAGCTCTGCTTTCAAGCATTTTGGGGTACACTATCCCATGCTCTGTAAGGTAAACTTTTAAATTAAGTAAAAAAGAGCATATCTATATTTCATTCTCAAAGTAACTTGAAATTTGAGTACCAAGCACCTTTCTCGGCCAAGCAGAAAGCAAAGAACGCTACGGTCCACAATTTCAGGCTGAGTCCCGACATCTCTGGTGTAGAGGATGACCGGTTTCTGAAAGCCAACGTCTAACTACTTCCAGCAAGTTAGTAAAAACTGCACTTTTTATACTCATTACACATGCTCATTGTGCTCAACCCCTGACGTTTACGTCTTGGGCATTGCGGACAGTCGCTAAAGGTGACAACTCAACAAAAAACACTTGATGCAGGCTTGAAGTTGCCAGATCTTCCAACTGGATGTTGCAAAATGCACGGTGCCTCCGACGTTACATTAAACCCAGCAATGATGATTTCTAATAAATTCATGATATTTATATAACGTACAAATAAATATCTATATATCTTCCTACCAAGGTTTCCCGAGTAATTAAAATCAACATCTAGAACAGCATAACAATGGTTAATCTTAGGAACTAGACTAACCATATTACGTGTAAGACGTTTCAAGAAACCAACTTCATGTTAACGAAGATTTAGTTTCTCCAAGGAAACAGTCCGAATTCATATTGAGCTGGTGCTCAGAATAACATGTAATGTTCATAATTACAAAAATATGAAACAACCTATATTCTTTTTGTGTTTTGACAAATGAAACTGAGCCCTATGATATCAAATATTAATACTAATTATATTATTCATAAGGAATATTATTTTTGTCATGTAAGATGGCATTTTTATAGATGTACTACTCTGTTCCAAAGCATTAAATTACAAATTATCGTGCATTCTTTAAATATGAAATCTCATGTTGCCCCCTTGTTTTTTTATATTCCCGTAAAATAAAAACTTTAATAAATACTATTACCCAAAACGCAATCATATTTTTGTGAAACCTTTACTGTTTAATTCCAGGGAGAAACACTTGTTTGTAAATGCAAAACCATCAACATATATTGTTACTATAATTATTTTAACTAGGCTCTTTTGCTCTTCATCATCACCCGAATTAATTAGCGGTTCGAAAGAAGATTCAGGGTTAACGAAATAAACAGGCTGTGATCATTATTTTCAAATTCTTCTAATAAGCAGAATGCTTTGAATATTTGTTTTATGGAGCGAAGAACACAATATTTCATTGCCATCGCCATGCCATACTACATCATCATGCACCGCTGAAAGTATCAGCGTGTGGTAAGTGCAACAGGAGACACGGCTTACGCTCCCATCACCAAATTCGCTTTCTTGATATTCAAAACAAAAACTATGTGCCTTATGACAAGTCTCTTCATCTAGGGTTGTTGGGTGCATAAAAGTCGCGGATAGCAGTGAAAAATGCAGAGCCTGATGCTAAACATATGTACGTGTATTTTGTTCAACGATGGATTTGATATCTAGCACTAACTGCATGTGGTTATAGCACGCTAACGCCTATAAATGAACTAAAAGTGTCGCTTAATAAGGTGAAAGGCAAGAGGCGATTTTAAATAAACCCCTCTAAAACTACGTAAAAGGGTTTGAAAAAAAGACAACACATTGATTGGTGTTCGCCGTGTTGTTTAATCCATGCCATGAAGAAAGAAATCTTTAGTCGGCAAAGCGGTAGACCACCGGTCTCGAAATTGGAGATATATTGTAGGTTAGATCCCTGGTGGGAACGAGTATACACAAATATATATTTTTTCTAATTATAAGTAAGTTCTCGTGTAAATTGTTTTACTCATATTACCATGCTAGCTAAACGGGCTTTGTTGAGATGCCCGTTCATGTGGTATGCATTAACGGAGTGGCGCCAAAACGTAGTGGTCTAAGAAATTACCTTCAAACAACGTTGCATCTTTTAAAACATAACCACCTGCCGCACCCCTTCTCCAGAGAAATTATTAAAATGATGTCTTTCTATGAAGCGTAGAGATATCAATTCCTAAAGCATGCTCTGCTTTTATTGTCTAATAATATTGCTGGCATAAAGTTTAGACTTACCCTATTAAAGACCAGTTGCTCTACTTACATGTCGTGTAGAGTGTACTTTATTTTGTTATAAATCTTTGTCGTTTACCTATGTGCACATCTGTTTCTGTTTTGTGTTTTTTTATGTCCGTAGCCGTCTGCTAACTTCACAGGTCCCCGGATCCCGCCAGGTCAGCACCTATTAGACGTTTGTCTATTGCTCTAACCGATTTATTTGTATTTCAAAAAATTCAAAGATTAAAAATGAGGTATTTTGTGAATATATAATTTGATTACATTGCGGTTTTAGTGCTTCAACTCTCAAGACGGTAATTACAATTTGTAAAGTTAACATGTTTTTTTTTTTAGTTCGAGCTGACGCTGTATGGTTTCAGATCCGGGTTGTCCACTGAAGATGCCCTCCTGCGGCTAAAGGAGGACACACTTATTTCGACATGTTCACAGAGCAGCATCGTGGTTGCCGTCGATTTACGTAAAGCTTGTAATGTTTTATCTCATGACATAATCCTAAGCAAAAGCGGAACCTAGGCATCCGAGAAGGCGGGTACAACTATATTGCCGCCTTTCTCGAAGACAAACTTTCAAGTGGAGATAGGACTGGGAATCAGCACAACGCGTCCCAAGAGAGTGAAGGTCCTTCAAGGTAAGTGATATCGCCGACACTCTTGAAGATCGTAATGTCTCAACTAAAAAGTACCTCCCAGGCTGGCGAATATTCCGAATATTGCACACGCGGTTTATGCCGACGACGTAGCCATTTGGACACACTCTGGGTCGTCGGCGAGTTAGAGGTGGCCCTCCAGGCGGCTCTCGACACTATACACGTGTTCCGAAGAGGAGGGGCTGAATACGGCCCCGGAAAAGACAGAGTACGTCATTGTACACAGCAGCAGACCCATGAAGGCAAACAGCGAAGAAACAGACAGCCTTCGACTCTTCATTGGCCACCGCCTCACCGAGCGGAAGCTGACAATCTGCATCTTATAGCACAAACATTGACGAGCACTTTCCAGCTAATACCTGGTTTAATCGCACCCTCCGGACAACCAAGCAGATGCTCTATGTACTACGACGGGTGTCAAATCTAACAAAGCCCAGGCAACATAAAATACCATCGAGCCGGCTAAGAAAATGGAATGTTCGCGAGTGTATAGTTTGAGGGACATACGTCCTTCTATCCAGCCAGAACGTTCGCAGCCTTAGAACGAAGTCGTCCGAGTTTATGTCGGAAATTGTAGGCAATCAATACACCTATGTTTGCCTTACCGAAACTTGTCTAGAGGACAGTATCAATCGCTCTCTATGTTTTCCTCCGTCATACACAGTATTTCGGAAAGGCCGTCATTACGCCGTTACGAGACAGAGATACGGAGGAGGGGTTTTAACCGCCGTGGAAGCTTCACTGTGTGCATGTAGAAGATATGACCTGGTCACTTACCCGGAATGTATATGGTTGTGCTTACGTCCTGGGAAACTTTTACCTTCCACCACACTCTGACTCAGAGCTTTTTGCACGCCATTTTCGAAATCCAGAACAACAGCCTGATATGACGAAGTTTCGTGTTCAGATATATGGGGATTTAAATCCTCATATATCTGAGCCCCATATATATATATATATTTATTTATCTACCAGAAATTGACTTGGTCGAAGGTTATGACTTGTAGGCGAGCGAGGTCACCAGCTTGAAATTATCGAGCCTGTTAGATTTAATTTATTTGATTGGATTTGTACAAAGCAATGTTATCCAGAATTCAGCGGGGAATATACTTGTCCTTGTTTTAGTTTCCTCGCCAATTAATTGTACCTTGCTAATCGTGGACCCTTTAACACGTGTTGATAATTTCCATCCACCTTTTGGTGTGTCCTTTCTCTTTCCTCTGCGTGAACGAGGATCTTGCAGCCAGGGATATTTCCTGTACATCAGGGAAGATTGCCTTAATATGCACTAGCACTTGCAGTGCATGACTGGCAACCGATCTTGAATGAGAATTGCGCGGATTCGGCTGCTGAGGCGCTTACAAAAGTAGCTTCGAGCGCCATATGAAAATACGTGCCTAAGCGTTTTTCTCGGGCAAACTAGTACCTGTCATGGGTGTCAATGGAGCTCAGGCGTTGCTCACGAGGTAGCTTCATTATCATCGTCTTTTTAAAAAATCTGAACTGCATAAGTAGTACGTCAAATTTAGCGAGTGTCGTATCTGGGCAAAACGGTTTTTTAAACAAGACGAAACTATGCATATTGCTGTGCATGAGACCGATATGCACACGAACCCACAAAAGAGCTTTGGAGGTATGTACCATCAAAAAAGAACCGTAATCATAATGTTGTCCCAATAATAGATGATTCTGGTTACACATGTGCCCTATTGAAAATTCTCATTTGTATGAGAAATTTCTGTGTTTAATAAACACATATAAATCATACAAGATATATAAGAACATATAAGAACCATTTGAGAACCATATAATAACTATATAAGAACTATATAAGATATGTAAGAACATGCAAACACCATATAAGAAACGTCTGAGAAGTTTCTTATACGTTTCCTATATGGATTTCATATATCTTGTATAGTTCTTATACAGTTCTTATATGGTTATCATATGCACTTATATATATTGTATGATTCAAATGTGTTTATTGGACGCAAGAAATTTCTCATACAAATGACTTTTTCACTAGGGTGATTCAAGTAAAAATGCCAAAAAGTTTCCAGTGCATTTTACATTCTGTTTTTCGTCTGCGGCAGTCACTGACGGCAGCACGACGTCCCAAGGCGCATTAGATTTTCTTTCTTTTACCCCATATGACGAACTTGAAATAAGGAAAGCATTTTTAAAGTGAAACAAGCTTCTTTGGCTTGTTTTGCTCTGCTTTGCTTCGCTTCATTCATTCACTTTCCTCATTCACCTTTAAGTGCAGCCTCATGAAAAAATATACGGCAGGTTTTTTTTTTCTTTTTAGACGTATAAGACATTCCGGCAGTTTCGCTGTGGTTTTTTAGGAGTGACGTCAGCAAGGTCCTTTAAGCCGCATATTTTAAGGTCACAGTTCACTCTCGTTACTTAAACAATTGTGTGCCTTCTGGCACCTGCGCATTCTAATGCCCTG